ATATTTTCTTTCTTCAAAAGGCTTTAAAAGTATTATTTTATTATCTTATTAGGCCAAACTAGAGAAATAGCAAATTACTTGCTCAACTTCTACTTCAATTCCCCCGTTTTGGAGAGAAATCACACTCAAATAAGTAAAATTCTGAATTTCTTAATCTCTCTTTTGGTAACTTAAAAGTTTTCTCTGTAAGATCAAGTGCAATTGGGCAGAAGTTCTATGTTGTCACCAATCCTTTATTGAAACTGGTACTAGGACAACAAAAATAATGTTTAATATGTACAGCCTTTGTACGGACTATTTGACTATATACAAGGCAATCTAATCTTCATTATAATTTGTGTACCAAAAGACACCAAACAGACAATATGTCAACAATACAGTGAAATGACATCACAGGTTCAGTGAAAATTCAGCATAATACAAAACATACTCATCTACTGTTAATGACATCTTTTGAAAGCAGCCAGATATCATTCAGCAATGGTTTACACAGAGTCTGAAGCAGAGATCTGCTGAGTAGTTATAAGTCTCTTAAGTGAGGCAACTTCTTCAGATAAGTTTGCTATCCCCTGCTTCAAATACAAATTCCCTGGATCAGAAACTTTATAGACACTGTCTTTAATATCAACCAGTCCTGATTTAAAACTATTCTGGGGCTTGCCACTATGTTCTTTTTGATGCCAGTGTTCTGATTTAAGAGACCAATCTTGGAAGTTAGTCATTTGCACTGAGAAAGGAGAAAGAGCAGAACGTACTATATTTGGGGCATTATGTTTCTCAAGCTCAAAATGTCTTTTTGAAGTCATGTCAATAGGTGAAGACAATTTTTGTGTGGCCTCAAATTCATTATCTAATGCTTCTACTTTTATTTGCATGGCTTTGGCTTTAATCCGAAGTTTGTGTGGCAAAGCAGAAGAATTCACTTCTGGAACTTTAACCATTGTTGCATGTCCATGTTTAAGTTCAACAGGAGAGTGGATTGGGCCCTTGGGAACCTGCTGTTCGTCTTCTCCATCAGATGATTTTCCTACCACACCATCATCTGCTTCTGATGTTCTTGGAGAGTTACTAGAGGAGCAACTGACTTGCAACAGAGGTGGAGAGTGTGAATAACCAGAAAAGGAACTTCCCATATAATTTTGATAGATGGATGTTGTGTAGGAGCCTCTATAATCTCTCGGCTCTCTTGTATAGTTCTCTAATTCCAGTGGTTCTTGTTTTATGATTTGAAATTTGTTTTCAGGACTTCTGCAGCTATTCTGAACAGGACTCTCCTGAATGTGCTCTACTGAAGAAACCTCAGAAACATCAGACAGAGAGCTCTGTGGAGAGTGCTTAATGACAGAAATACAGCTACTTGACACTATTGAGGGTTCATGTTCATCCACAAATGAGCTAACATTAGATTTGGAAGCTGGATAGTCTTGAAAGTACATAGCTGCAGAATTACTGAGTTTCTGAATCTCTTGAGCATATGCTGTGGAGCTAATTAAACCAAATTTTAATTTTAATGAAAGCAATTCAGCTTTTAAAGTAGCATTTTCTTCTCCCAGTGCAATTAGTTTGTTCTCTAAAACCAGGTCATTCAATCGACGTTTCTCACGAGATCTCTTGGCAGCCTCATTATTTTTCCTCCTTTTTTCCCAATACATGGCATCTTTCTTTTCATCAGGAATGAACTCTCGCTTTCTCCGGCATGCTGAAGATTTGTTTTTCCCCATACTTCCTTCATTTAGTAAAAGGTCTTCCCCTGTTGTCAAATCTTCAGACACTTCAGTTAAAGCAGAACTAAGTACGATCATCTTGTCTACATTGCTACTAGTTTCAGGTGATGCTTGCTCCTTTTTTATGTTCTGCATTTTTCTCAGCTGCATCAGAAATAATCTTTACCTATGTATATGATGAAGAAAAAGTAATTGTTTTTCCAGTATTCTCAAACTCTTTAAAAACAATCTTTCAATATTCATTCATATTCTTCCTCTCAGTTTTATAGTTCAGGATAAATCTCTCAGGTTCCTTTCGCTGAATGGAGTAGGTGTCTTCTAGGTTATCTGCAATACATTAAAATAAACAGTTACTCACTAGATAAATATTGATTACCAATCATGTACAAAGGATAAGGCTAAGCATTTAGGAAATACAGGTATGAATAAGTCACAGTTCTTACATTTAATGAGACTACAATCTTGAAGTAAGTACATAAGTTTATATACTATTAAAGTTGTAAAATGTCAAACACTAAGTAAAATATATCCATAAAATGCTGTGTAGTTAAGGAGGGTGAGAAAAAAGCATTTGCCCTGGGAGAAATAGAGAAAGTCTAGAGGTAAAAAGGAAAAGGGTTGAACATGAACATTATAAGAAGGAAACATAAAGTTGATGCTTTGGGATAATTATAGATAGAATCTATATCACTGTAAAGCAAATACAGTTATCTACTAAAAATAACTCAACTACCAGCATTTGGATTTTTTAATTACTGAATATATAAATGAAACTACATTTTTACCTCTCCTGTGGTGTTAAGCTGAAGTTGACTTTTTTAGCCATTATCTTAGCACTCTATGGTGTCTAGCTACTTTACTGTCGAGTCATGGTCTTGCAAATAATCAGCAGCCGTAGGAGTAGGAAAAGAGAGAGAGAGAGAGCTTCCCACACTGGGTAGCAAGATTTGAGGGAGCAAGACCCTGGTGATAGTGGTGAAAAGATTGTGGCACTGTCATGGAGAACTGTGGCAAGGTGTAACCTGAGGAGTCCTGAGATACAGGGCACAGCCAAAGGTTTTGCTGTGCTTGCTAGACCATTGAAGGAGAAGCCAAATTATAACTGTTCTGAGGTAAACTTTGCTGGATGATTGAGGAAACCAAAGGCTTCTTGAATCTGTGTTGCTGAACTGAAACTGGGACTTTTACTAATTAAGGAATTGTGTTTTGCTGTTAACCGGCCTTGGGACTGTGAACTATACCTAGATTTACATTGTGAGATATTCTTTGCTTCCTAACCTATCTACCAAATAAACACCACTTTTGGTACCACAACTGTTAGTAAAGTCTGTGAGTCCAAAACAAATATAGAACCCAGTAATTGGTGGATATAGGTAAAGGAGCATGGGGGCTGGCATGTCTGACCTAGCAGCAATCCATTTGCTGCTATAGATATTATTGATGGGGATAATTCCCCCTTTATAAAGTGGGCAGAAGTCAGACTTGGCCATTCCCATGTTGCATCTGCTCCCTTTACACTTCTACCAAAACAAAACTAAAAGCCATAACAGAATCACTGTATTTTTAATCTGGCCCTAATGCAGACAAATATATCCATCCCATCCTTGTGTGACTGAGCCCTAAATTACAGGCTGCAAGACTTTCCATGATCAAAATAAAAGAATACTTCCAAATATAGCTATCTTTTTGGAATCACCTGTGCTACCAAACTCCTTTTTTTCTCAACTTTCCAAACTGATTTATCCTGCATTTATTTAAAACCCAAGGATGAAAAATACACTTTGTGGTCTGGAAAATCCTGTCATAGATTTCAGTCATACAACTGAGTTACTATTGCAAGAGTTGCTTTTGTTTTTGTTTTAAGCACAGTGAATTCTTTTATTATTATTATTTGTGTGTGTGTGTGTGTGTGTACCGTCAAATTAGATCTGACTGGTACAGGAGGGGATTGTCCCTCCTTCTCCAGCAGAACATCTGGTAAGCACAGTGAATTCTTAAAAGATAAAATTTACTTTAAAATGAGAGAATACACTTATGGGAAGAATTTCTTTTAGTTTTACTAATTAGTTTAAAATAAAATGTTTCTCTAGTCGTTGATAGGTGCTGGCAAGTTGATTAAGACTCATAATGACCCTATGAACAGACGAAACCTTGCACTATTCTGTAACGTCCCCACAATCTATACAAAACGTGAGAATTCAAAAATAGAACAATCAGCTAGCTGCTTCTTCCACTGATTAATTTGGATTGACATCATTAGATCCATTTCATGTTCCAATGACAATCTTTATGCTGGGATTTGTTTTTAAATCTATTTGAAGACATTCTTTCTATATCTTAATTTTTACCAAGTAGATATAATAAAACAATTCTTTATTCAGGATTATCTCTGTATAATCTCTGTACTACATACTACCTGTAGTATCAAAAATATTGATGTATTTTAAGTTCATTGTATTCGTTTCTTTCTTTTTTAAATTTTCTACTAGTTTATTTACAAAATTAAAATACATTGCTTTCAAGAACAAATTCTTTCAATTTCCCTTGCCCCCTCACCCATCAAATTGTACAAACCCAATGATTAATTGCCCTCTCCCCTGCACATACACATTCTTCTGCTTCCACCCTCTCCCACCCTCTTGGATCCTTGTACTTATTCTACGATAATGGTTACAGTGATTAACAAAATGAGGTTTAACTTTAGGAACTGAAAAAGTCTGCCAGCACCTCTTTTCCAGGGGTAATGCAGAAGGATTCTTGATTCTGTTGTTGTTGTTGTTGTTGTTGCTATGTGACAAAGTCAACACTGTTCTCTTTTACTGTTCAGTCAATACTCTTCTCCAGGACACAACTCACAGGTATATAAGATTTTCATGACTCTATGAACAATGGATCTGAAAAAATACCCTATATTGTGACATCCTCACCATCTCTAGCATACTTGAGCCCATTGCTGCAATCAATGTGTCAATCCATCTTTTTTTTTATTTTTCTTATTAAATTTTATTAGTTTTAATGAACATTTACAGAGATTTCGGGTTTTCATTCATTCATTGTTGCACTGTTTTCTCCACCCTCATCCCCAGTTCGTTCTTCTTCCCCCCCCCCATGTCTGTTTTAATTGTCCAATTGCCACAGTGCTTGTCAAAGCCAGTTCTGATTAATCTCCTTTGTCAGTGTGTCCCTTGCTATTCCCTATCACTCAAAGATCTTCTCCTCTTACACTCACCCTCCACTTTTCAAAGGATGATGTCCTTTTCTGCCAACATGCCCAAAATATGTGAGACAAAATTTCAACCTCTTTGCTTTCAATGAGCATTCTGAGTTTCCCTTTCTCTAAAACATGCCTGCTTGTTCTCATGGCAGTTCATGAGATATTCAGTACTCTTCTCCAACACCACAACTGAAAGGCATTGATTCTTCTTCAATCATCCTTAGTCTTTTCCAACTATCAGATGCACGTCAAGCAATTAAGAAGGCTATGGCTTGGATCAAGGGTCCCAAGTCTTTAAGTAGACATCACTGCTCTTTAATACTCTGTAGAGAGTCCTCTCAGCAGATTTTTCCAACACAGTTTTGTTTTGTTTTGTTTTTCATTTCTTGACTTGCAGTTCTCTGTTAATGTATCAAAGGTGTTGACTATGGGTCCAAACAAGAGGAAATTGTGAGTAACATCAATCTTTTCTCCATCGATCATGATGTTATCTATTCGCTTTGTGGTGAGGTTTATTGTTTTATTAAAAAAAAATACTTCTTGTATTACATGTGGCAAATTTACACTGGCGTCACTTAACTACTCTTAAATACAAAACCCACATTTCAACACAGGAAAATTAATAATCTGAACATTTTCTATTTCCTGCAGTTTTAAAGGATATTATTGAAAAAGTCAAGAATTATAGTAAGTAGAAATTATAGGATTTTACTGTTTTCTTGAGGTTGAGTTGCAATCCATATTAAAGGGTGTGGTCTTTGATCTGTTAATCTACTCTAAGTGTGCTCTATTGTACATAGGTTTTTCAAAGGCCTGTTATAGTTTGGAAGTGATCACAAATACTTTTTCCTGTTGTTATTGTTGTTATGTGCCGTTGAGTCGCTTGCGACTCACAGCGACCCCATGTACAACAGCCCTAAACTCCTCTCTGTCCTATGCCAATCGCACTGTTTCTGACACTCCCATCCCAATTATCCCAGTCACTGAATCAATCCACCTCATAGAGGGCCTTCCTCTCCTGCGCCGTCCCTCCACCCTCCCAAGCATGATGTCCCTCTCTAAGGACCAGTCTCTCCTCATAACATGTCCAAAGTATGTTAGAAGGAGCCTCAGAATCCTTGCCTCCAAGGAGCCACCCGGTTTAACCCTTTCCAGGACAAATCTGTTTGTTTTCCTAGCAGTCCATGGTATTCTCAATACTCTTCTCCAGCACTACAGCTCAAAGGCATCAATTCTCCTTCTATCCTCCTTGGTCATTGTCCAACTCTCTGATGCATAACAAGTGATTGCGAAGACCATAGCCTGTATCAGACGCACCTTATTCTCCAGAGAGACACCATTGCTCTTCAGTACTTTGGAGAGGTCCCTAACAGCAGACTTTCCCATGGCAATGCGCCTTCCGGCCCTCAGACCTGCGGCCCTCAGGCCAAGAAAAGCCTATTTACACACCAGTTCTACAGGAGGCATCACCTTTGCTCGGGAAACATTACGACTAAACTTCAGAGACATTGATCCCAACATAAGGAACTACCATCAGCTGATGTGTTTGGAATCACAGAAGCCATGGAAGCCTCATATATAAGTTATTAGATGGAGGGCTGGTCGAAGGGAGATAGATGTGAAGGGAGGGGGTAGAAGTGGATGGGTATCCTGGTGGATGGTGGAGCAGGGAAATAAGTGGGTAAAGACGCATGTGAGAAAGGCAGGGCAACACTGACACTAAAGTTAACTCCGCAATAAGGGATATACCTTTAATTTGCTGGTCTGTCTGATACTTCTCTAAATCTGAACATTCACATTAAGACAGACTAGGAAGAAGGATTGGCCATCTACTTCTGAAATAGCAGGCCTCTGAAAACCCTATGTATGTACATTTTCCTAGTCTGTCTTAATTTTGATGCTTAGCTTTCAAACAATATCTGACAAACAAGCATTT